CCCCCCCCCCCCTCCCCGCGCTTCGCATTGTCATGTGATTGGAGGGAGATAACAAACCTCAAGAAAGAAAAGGAGTCAGAAGACATTTTTAACACGGCATAACCACAGATTAATAATGCAGGTGGGTTTGTATTTTATTGTATTTTTAGGGGAAGGGAACGAGGCTGTTTAACGAGCAGTCGTGGACACAAAGTAACTATATTTACAATCCTTGATGTGGCTTTCGGTGGGTAATAAATTATGACAATATTAAAATTATTTTCTGGCAGCCCAGTTAACTGCGTTGGGGACCGTAAAGCCCTTACTGATTCCATTTATGCCTTGTAATTACGGTCCACGGGCTCTCTCTAAACCCTTTGGTGTATATTGTGTGTAAACTTTTAGCTAATAGACCTTTTTTGAATGGAGGGACTTTTCTCAGTACTTCCTGCAGTATATATTCTGTCTCTGATCTCTGTATTTAATGGCCAAGTCCTGGTTTATGCTTTATAACGTGTTGACAAGTTTTCTAACAGACTTTCTGAAATAATGCACATATATTCACGTCGGTTAGAAACTCCACAGTATTTTTAGAGTCGAGTAGATCTATATCCTAATGCACTGAGAGGGAGTGTAAATCACAGAGGATTTCATAGCCCTTTCAGTAGTTTTCTGTATGAAGTATGAGCAGCGTGGCCTCCAGACGTAACCTTTTAGAAAAAAAGACAGTGCTTTTATTTTATGGTGTAAAGTGCTTTTAGCTTCAGGGCTCTGAACGTGAATGTGGTCAACAAACAGCTCTTGCGAGGGAGTTTGCTACAGCCTCAGCCCCAGCGCCGGGGCGCTGCCTTGGCGATGGGGAGGGTTACGGGACCACCTCCGGCCGCAGGACCGGGCTAACCGCCCCCCCGCCCCCGACACACGGTAACCCCAGAACCGCCGCTCCGCGCTGCAGGGCGAGGGAGGGCTCCGCGCCCCGCCAGGTCCCCCCGGCAAGCTGCCGGGTGCCCGGACACCGTGAGGAGAGGGGGAGCGGGATGGCCCCCGGCGCTGCCGGAGAGGCTGGCGACGGTGGGGTCGGTCCCAAGGGGACCGTCCCCGGCTCGTCCGGGACGTGAGCGGCCTCCGAGCTCGCCCCGGCGGCAAAAGCAGGGCCAGGGCACGCAGCTCGGGGCGAGCGGTGGGAGCCAGGGAAATGCCTTGCCCCGCAGCCCTTGCCCCGCTGCACCCCGCGCCCCGCTCCTCCTGCCTCGTCCCCTCTCCCCCCTGCTTCCAGCACAACTGCCACCACAGCACCCCTCTGACACACGGAGAGCCGTCTGTAGCCCCCTCTCTACCTGTAACACGGTGGCGTCGCTCTGCTAACTTACACCGATGACGCTAGTGAACGTGGCGGTTAAAAACAGTTAGAAATGCTCAAATACTGACCGCTAACCCCTAGAAATGCTGGCAGGTTAGAAGGGCAGGTGAAAACAAACCCAAGCTAGCACTGAAAGAGACAGGCTTTGAGGATTCACGCAAACTTGTGCCTCAACTTCTCTTCCTCCACAACCTTCCTTTGCCCAAGCTGCAGAGGATGCCCCTCAATCCTGCTACAGAGGTTTGAGCTGCTGTCACCCCCCCAGATGTCTTATCGTCTCCTCTTTGGCCACGGACTCCCAGCCCCAGAGCAAAGTCAGACAGAAGAAATGTAACACCCTATCTTCACTGCTTGTGGGCAAACTCCAAGGTACACACTGAAACCATGGTGGTTTTCGGGCTGCCTACAAGGGGAAACCAGCCTCGGAGAAGGGTCTGCCTTGTCAGCTGAGCGGCTGTCCTGCCTCAATCTATCCCATGTGAACCAGAGCCCTGAGACCCCAGCTAATGTCCTGGAGCAGCTGAGGGCAGAGGTGGGCACCCATCCCACTCTGCCATCCCGGGGCTGGGCCAGTAACCTGCAGCAGCAGGGCAAAGTGCCCAGGTGAGAACATTTACACTGTAAAAATTAGTTTAACATTTAAATCCGCCAAAACGTATCTATCCCTCTTCTCATGCCTCAGCTCTCTGAATAATAATGTGATCCTCCCTCCATTCAAGCTTGCGAGGTGCTCAGAGGTTGCTGTATAATAGGACATAAAACTGCTTCAGACTGGGAAGTGCGGCCTTCCTCCATCTCTCGGGCAGGTATGGGGAGGATCGGGACCCACGCAGGATCAGGACCAGAGGCGCAAAGTAGTATGTCATAGTTCGTACCGGGTACTGCTGTCCTTGCCTATCTGCTAATTTAGTGACAGACTTGGCAGCGGGTGAGGTTCAGCAACTTTGGTGGGCAAATGTTCCTGCTTTGAAGCTCCAACTGTCAGTCATTCAGAGCAGGAATCTCACTTGCCAACTCTGTACAGAACATTAGGACCAAATACACATTCCAAAATTCTGCCAGTTCTCCGGAGCTGGGCTGCATTATATAACGGCAGATCGCACAGGGTGCTTTCCGACACCGTCTTGATAGTCTCAATCAGGCGGAGGCAACGTGGGTGGAACTCTTATCATACCAGGCTGACTCCCCGTGAATGAGCAGAGGACTTGCACGTTCTAGAAATAGTATGTGCATTAGTATTCCCGCATGAGAAACTCGGGCACGCTGCTTTTCCTTTTTCTCTTTTTTTTTTTTCCCCCTTCCCTTTTTAATAAAGGCTCAAAATAAACTCTGATTTTGCAAGCGCTTACTAGCAAGCACAGCAGCGAGTCCGTGCAGGATCACAAACATCTGAGTGCCAGGTGACAGCAAGATTTCGTTATCAGCTTGCCCTAGGCAGGACCCAGAATAAAACCCTGAACTTGGGGAGAGTTTTTCCATGGATTCCAGCAAGGTTTGGGATTTCAGCCTGCCTCTGCTTGCACAGCACCTAGCATGACAGAGCCCTGAACCTTGACTGGACTTTCTGGGGATGATTACAAAATAAATGGTACAAAGCCCTTAGGAAACAGACTTTCAAATGGCAAAAACCCTCCTTTGAAGCATACAAACAGTTTTGCTTGTGCATAGGTAGGCACAGGATGACACTAATAAATGCCCATAAAATCTCATTTTTAATCAAATGCTTGATTTCAGCCAAACTGGTTTTATTTTGTACTGCTCAAGTACTTACTTAGCTATTTGTCATTTATATGGTTAATATTCATGTATCTCTTTATAAGTAAACATGTAACATGCCTCTGACAGTTTCTATCCTAGGTTTCAAGCTAACATCATTTAAACTATGTGCATTTAAAACCTCCCAGAACTTGACCTATAATGCAAATCCATACAGTCTTAATTATAGCAGCACGAGCAGCCACCGCACGAGTGAAATAGCTGAGCTTTTGTTACTAAAGAGGCACAGTAGTTAAGGTCTGTCAGCGCTCCTGTTACAATCCCCATCTTGAAGAGGTTATAACTTGGGCTGTGTAAATTTGATTGAGCTGAAACTTGGGACTCAAACTGTCAGTCCATATAGGGAATTATCTTATGAATAATTGGCTAACCCGTTGCTTGATTCACAGACCTTTATAAAACGATTTTTAATGTGTTTTAATGTTTTTTTCTTTTACTGACATCTAGGGTATGAATTTGGTACTTCTAGCTCTTCTCAAGCTCCATACTGAACAGCTTATATATAGGTACCCACATAAAAGCTAGAGCTCCCAAGAGGAGTTCGCGGGGCATACCACACTTCCCCATCTATGCGTACCCATACACCAATAAGAGACCATGAGCAAGAAATGGCACTTAAATCTATCTCAAAAGAGAGTCCTAAATGTGTAAGGTAAAGAGAACACAAATGCCTCAAACAGGAGGGAACTAAAGCTCATAACACGTGTCTGCTTTGTACATCAGCCATATCACAATGCGCTGCCAGTCACACATCTGGCAGGCCCCTTTACACCAACCATCATGCTGGGACGGGAAGGTTCTCACTGAACCCACCATCTAAAATACAGCTCTGGCACATTACAGTACAGCATACAGGTCAACTCAACTACCTATAGATGCAGTGAGGATAGGTAGGGACAGCAAAACATCTGTCAGAGCATTGGTCACTGTTATCTTTTCTAACAGTTTCTTGGAATCTTTTCACCTTCTTGGGCTTTTTCTTCCTCCAAACTGTGTGGAAGTGAGACCCAAGTGTGCATTGGCATCACTTTGAAAGGAATGAGCTGTTTGACTTTCAACATTGAGCCGAAGCTTAAGTATCCCTGTGTTTTACAAATAACTTTACTGAGAATTGCTCTCCATAACAGTTTTCACAAGTTCTAAACTTTTGTTTATCAGAGATGGGTTTTATCACAAGCATGTATGGTTGGTTAAGAAGCAGACTTGGAATTTTCCTTGACCCTAACAGAAAACAATGACAAACCACAGGCCATGAACAAACAGATTGTTCTCAGAGCTAGACCCCACAAAGTTCCCAAAGCCCACCTCACCAAATGGTTCCTTAGCTGGGACACCGTGCTGCACGCCTCAACTCATGAGCAGCACCTCCCTTGGGTTCAGGAAGAGTTTTGACCAAGCCAGGCTGCAGCACTGGGCTCTCTCACTGCAGGTTTATTGTGGTTGAAACAAAGCACTATGAGAATCCAGACTTTCCTCAGCAAGATGTTCCACATATCCAAATTCCCATTCATCGGGGCTACTGTATTTGGCCCCACAGAAACTGCTGATGGCACAAGCACAGAGAAGTTGCTCCTATGATTCACTGCTAAGATCCCAAGGAATTTACCTAAGCAGGTCACTATCTTCAAGCCTATGAGCAGCAGGAAGACGGGTCACTGACACTAACATATTTTTTGGTTCATTTTCTGACTTTAGCTGCTCAGTTTGGGGAGATTCCTATTTAGGACAAGTAAAGAATTACAGTCAATTCAGGCCACGGGGAGATGGCACCCACCAGCCAGAGGCAGCTGAATTCAGAAGTGATGAGCAAGCTGCACGAATAGGAAAGGCTAAGCCAGGCTCCCAGCCCTGCAGGGGCAAACTCTTGGTGAGGTTCAAACCAGGAACAAACAGCGTGTAACACTAGGTTTAAAATAGTGGCATGTCCGACAACGGCACAGTCACACTTCATCTCCAAAGTATCTGTTCATCAGCGAAGGGCAGGAGAGCTAGACAGACTTGGTTTG